ATGTAGTTAAATACAATGATCATTGTATTTAACTTTTGTGAAATAGTTAAAATAAAAACACTGTAACATGTAATAAAAATGAGTTTTGATATTATAGAATATTTGAAGAGAAAACATGACACAGAAGAATTACACATATAAATAGGATATGTAAATATTTATTAACATTCACATGCATATCTCGGGGTGACAAAACTTCCTGATATATCGCCAATTTCTGTGGAACATTAACTGCAGAATTTGAACACTGAAATAAGGCACTCAGTACTGAAATAGAACAGTGAAAAATATTTTTAAGGTTGTTTTTATTTTTTTAGGCATAAATACAATTTCCAGAAAAATGCACCTTTTTCAAGGCCATTTTTCTGTCTATTTTCTTGTTATTTTGCTTTTTCCTTCTTTCTTTCATGCAAATAAATGAAAATACATGCAACTAAATTCTTTTATGATTTTCTTATTTTTTGGGATGAAAACTTATGTTGACCTTTGGAACAAGTACAGAATTCATAATGAAACACTTCCTTGGGCTCCCTTCTTCAGCTGCTTGCCTTTCCTTCTTCTTATACTGCTTGATTTGGCTGATCTTACTTTTTATTTTCTTCTCATCAGGGAACTCTTCGATGTAGTTTGCCTCCTTTATCATCTCATATCTTTCCAGGACCATTGCACAGCATGCCTTTGGTGCAATGTTTTCATTTTCATCAAGAATACCATTGATGATATTTGAAAGCACATCTGGAAAACTGTATAAGAGTTGAAAGCTGGCCATTTGCTACTATTTCTTTCTTTTGCAATGAAGGTGCTGATTGTCGAGCGAAACTCACTCTCAGATGGTAGATCCAATTTAGAGAGTTATTTAATTTTCAACTCCTAAAGTACCGCTACCAGGACCCATTGTTTTTGACCACATACATTTCCATCATCATACATTTGCTTCACATCATCTATATAACAATGAATATACTTTTTCATAGGTTTTTCTTTGAACAGGCTTTATTGTCCAACCTTTCTGAAAAGGTTTGTAACGTTTTTCAGGTTCAAGAACAAAATTACTACCTAAATTAATATGTTAAATCAATATGTTAAATAAATTCAACAGATCCTTCATCCAGTAGTTTCTTTGCCTCTAACACTGCAAACGATACAGCATCATGTTGATCCAGTGGTCCTTTGCATTTATGACTTCCACGAAATGCCAGTGAGGAGAATGTTCTGTTGCAAACTATGCAAATAGTATCTTCAATGGGCACTGCAAAATCTGGAGTTTCTTCATCACATATTCCTTGCATATCAAGAATAAGATCATCTCCATGGATGCACTGCCCATTAACGATTGCTATATTGTCAGCATCAGTATTCTGAATTTCAGGTTCGATTTGATCTTGATGCTCATCCTCTAGTTCACCTTCATCTTCATGTTGAATTTCCATTTTGGATCAGTTTTCTGCAACGCTTTGAGTTTCCACCACATCTGGCTGTAATTTAACTACTGCAACTGATGGAAAGCTAGAGTTTTCTTTGACACAAGTCTTTCCATCTTCATCAAAAATTATATTGTTATGCCTAGTAAATGATTTCTTAAAGAACTTGATACGTTTTTCAATAGCTTTCTCAAAAACTGCTTCCTGTTCATGATTTGGTGTATACAACACTGGGACATCATTTCCTAAACATCCCATTGCACCCGACACTGCAAATAACTGTGTTGGAGATATAACGTTATTTCTCATGTTCACATATCTAAAAAACATGGACCATTGCACAAGTAAAATGAGCATCAATCCAACTCTTACCATCCTGTGTATTTGTATGGATATACCTCACAATTGTCATTGGACTTGTTTCGATCAGTCATAATATTCCAACAATAAGCTCATGCATTTGATATACATTTGAATTATCACTTTGGATAATTACCTTTTTTTTGGGTTGTGAATCAACTTGTTAAACATCATTTGGATAATGAAACAGCACGTTGTAGTGGTGATAGCTCAGAATATGATTCCCATTGCATAAATCATGCTTTGAATAAAAGTAGTGTTCACCAAAACAAAACTTGTCGTACTTGTCAAATTCCCTTTGCTTTCATGGATGATTAGATCAGATCATCATCATATACTTGATGATAATCGTAACAAAATGAAGTTGTACATGGGGCGTCAGATTTGAGTACTCAATTAACGGGTGGAAATTTCAAAGATAAAGCAAACAATGCTTTGTGAGAAACAGTGTGGTATGGCCTACTGTGTAATGGATTACAAGATGAAGTTCAACCCATTATATTGTCGTGAGAAAAATATTGAACATTTTGGAAAACACAGATTGAGTTGGCATGGTACAATGGTTCAAATGCTTCCAACTGTGAATCCAGATGCAGATGTTTCAAATGGAAGGCAACAGGCTGACTTTGATCGTATATATTATGTTCACATACCTAGTGGGGATTTGAAGCAGGATTATTTTGGTGTACTCTCAGTTTTGGAAGCTTTAATTACACAGTTGCATAAAGAATTTCCATATATAGCATTTTGTTTCTGTACTCATCCTATACATCTGGATCAGTTGTATCAAAGAAACAAATTGTTCATCAAAATCCCAGTTGCATAGTCCATAGCAATCAAAGCTTTCATATCATTGAAAGTCAAAGTATTTACCAATTTGAAAAATGTTCTCCTACAAATTGTTTCACTAAAATTTTCCACATATGAGTGTTCGATGCACTTCCCATTTCAATGTTATGTTCACCCCATGAAAGTAATTGCATATTTGATGGGGATAAGATGAATCTGACTGCAGCTGACATAATGGAAGCATTATATTTCACAATTGACTTTTTTTACTTTTACCAAATCTTGCCCAGATGCCAACATGCTATAATGCTTTCACATAGTTGTGTACATTTTCATTCCTGGAGGTTTCGCATCTGGCAATGTGTATTTGTACGAGGCCTCTACTTGTCTCAGTTGGAAATTGTGAAATAACAAAGCCATCAACACATTTTTTGGTATTGAACCTCTACTCAATGTCTTTTGCATTCTGCAAATATCATGACAAAAGTTTAAGCTGGACATCATCTCACTCTTACCAGTGCATTTTTGGTAATTAATCAGCATCATGTCCATAAGTTGTTTGGATCTGCTTGGAAAACAATTTAAATTTTTTTTTGTAAACACTACTGACACAAAGGAAACCATCTGCATGTAATATGGAACATCTTTTATTGATATTTCTTCACCTGGTGTTCCTTGTCAAACTTCACTGCTTGGAAAATGGGAATAATATGAAGAATTCATAGAAAATACTGTATGTAGCTCCCTCACTTTTTGATTCTCATAAATCTGTAGCTTGTATAAGCAAGTCTTGGTTCCCTCAATCACAGAATCTGGAAGCTCAACATAATTTCGTTGTATTGTTAAATCTTCTTGCCTTCTGTACCTTTGAACCAGACTGATGACCCATTTTGCATTTCATTTTCTCTTCTACGCTTTTGCTATCATGATTGCAGCCACACCTGAAGCATTTTCCACATACCCCACACTTGGCATGTTTGCACTTATATGTTAATGGTGCCACTCTGGCAATGTTTTTCCCAAACCAAATGAATGGAAAATCCAAATCTTGTCAGAGTATTATAGAATATGGTAGAATTTCAGTAGGTTCAGGAAGATTCCCAGATTTAGCTCCGTTACATTATGAGAGAATCAATGCAAAAACGTTTAGTCAATTTTTTTTTTTCTGACTTAAATAGCCCCGTTGGACTGAGAAAAAATTTTACCCCGGAGGTATGCATTACATATTCAAACATGAATTAATTAATTATGATGCAGTTAGTTAATCTTAACAAAGAAAATGGTTCTGCCAGTGGAAGAAAACAATTAGTAACCACTTGCTAGTGCCTTCAAATGTTAAGGTCAAGGCCAGTAAAGTTATGCACATAACAGACTATACACCTTTTGTTTCTTGGTATGTTAAATTATAATTATATTTACAGTAGTAATCACTAACATTTCCTCTCAATAACCAAAAAGACTGATTTTTTTTTATAAACTAAATGCATTATAACTAAACTTAGAGAGCAAAACTGATAAAATATTTCATAATGCTGGCAAAAAATTGTTCACCTCCAGTTTACTAGCAATGTCTTCTTCGTATGGGACAAATTTGTTCTGCCCTTCTTGTTTGTAGAACCAAGTACATCTCTTAACTGAGTGAGGTTCTTCTTCCCAATATACAGACTTCTTCAGTCGTTCTCCCAAAACAACATCATATCTACCTCCATCTGTAGCTACAACACTACCATGAGGATCTAAAAGAGAAGAACAACTACCTGAATACTTCACCTGTAGCTACAATTATCTTAAAGTTTAAAAACTACCAATAAGTTTGTCTCTAGCTGTAGTTAATGAACATAAAATAAATCTACCTCACAAATGGATTCAGTGACAGGAAGGTCAAGACAATATTTAATTTTTTTTGTTTCATCTGTAATAAAAAGTTAATGATGAACCAAAAGAACACATCAAAGTAGTTAGAAATATGATGGCTCACATTTCAATAGCTTAACCTTTAGACATGGGAGGGTCAAATTGTGCATGTCATGACCTTTTTTACAGCTCCATTAATACATAATTTAAATGTTTATCTAAGTTTTAAATTTTGAATTTTAAAAAGAAATATTTAAATAAATTCTCAACCTGCATCTTTGAGTCACATGATGTGGTGGCACTTTGACTTCTCATTTACAGATTTTTCTGTTCTCATACAAGGGTTTCAGTTTTTGAATCAATTAGAAATACATACTATAGATATTTACAAGTGAGAATATAAATTTTAACCTCTCAACTTCTTGCTTTACTGAAACATTATTATATTTCTTCAACATACATTGATACATTCCACCCATACTCTGTTTTTAAAGATAAATTACAGTAGTTTGGGGACATTCTATTCTAATGCCTGATATTTTTTGTGTTCTAAAATGCAAATTTGAAAGTTACATAAATTATTATTGGACAACTGACATTGCAAAAAAAAAAAAAACTTACTAAACTATGCACCTGAAAGCACAAAGCCTCAAGGCTGAAGTAGGTCCTAAACTATTTGGATTTTCGGTACAGTTTTTTTTATTTATTGTTACACATTATTAACAAAAGTAAGTGAAATGTAAAAATCAGAAACTTTTTAGGTTAGATAAAAAACTTAAATTTACAAAACATCAAATAAAAAATTTCTTCTTGAGGAACACATGCAGACTGCTTTCATGTGATGTAGATGTAACTCAATAATTTGTTTACCCTGAGCTTTTGCTAGGTGATTTATTGCTTTGTTACACTAATTAGAAATGGTAAAAGAGCAATAAAACAACAAAATGAAATGAAAGCATACTGAAACTGTTCTGAGTCTGTTAGGATAATTAATTGTGACTGTCTGTCACAGTCATTCTATTAAAAAAAAAAAAATAAAAAATTTGATTTTATTTTAAACAATCAAAAATACCTGTCTCCAGAGACGATAAAAGTTTAAGTTAATCTATCAATTTAAATTGACTTTAAAAAGACTAATTGCATTGGCAGAGCTCTGAGCTGCATATACTGCCAATCGCGAAGCAAACTGTCAAGCATTTCAGTCATGCTAAGAGTCTCTCAACAATAACATACATAAATCTACATTTTTATTCTTTCATTTATGTCACATTTTGAAAGATGAATGACAGTGTGATTAATTCCTAACAATTTAGTGTAGAATATCCTGCTTGCATAACAAAATTTGGCATCAACATTATTCATCCTGTTCTCCCATCATTTCAAAAGTGAATATTGAGCTTTACCTGCATGTGCAGATTTTCAAACAGGAGACAGATGAATGCTCAGACAGATACCACAGTTCACAGTATATACAAGATTTTTCAACTTTTATTATAGTTAGAGATAACATTTTGACACTCATTTAGGAGGTTCTTGAGATTATGAAAATGAAACATTAAATTCGTAAAAAGAAAATGAAGTATTTTTATCCTTAGCATGAAAATCACCCTTGACTCAAGATTGATTTAGTAAAGACTTCATAAATTCACTGACAAATCTTTAGTAAAATACTTTATTAGAAAAATCTAATGTGAACAACATACTTGAAATTTTTCCTAAATGTTTGCCAAATTTCATGAAGAGATATTTAGTACATTAAGAATTATATTATTTATAATTTTATGGTGGTTACAAGGTCAGTCAAACTGACAAAGCCCATCCTCATAGTGTTAATTTTGTTTTTGCACAAGAAATAAAACATGCAAGAATTAGTCTTAGGAGTTTTTAAAACTTGCCAAACATCAGCTAACTATGTCAATCAGAATTGAAATTATTTAAAAATACCTTAAAAATTAATAAAGATAACTTCATATAAGATACTGACTGAAAATACATAATGTAAGCAATATACCAGGAAGCTACAACCTATAATGATTAGATGGAATCAAGTCATGTAATTTACCTTTAAGGATAAGTTTAGTTGCAATTACAATTTCAAAAGATTCAAAACCTCAGATTTAGGTTATTCCTATATCTAAAGAATAAACTGTGAGGGGAAAATAACCCTCAAGTTTTACTGTACTTCAAAATATAAAAAAATTAACATTATATCCAATGAAATTTCTGAAACTATAAAGAAAAACAGATCAGACTATTATTTACTATTGTAAACAGATTCAAATGATCACAACTCCCAATATATCAACTAGAACTTGATCAAATAAGGGAGAAAATTTTAGTCTTGTTTAATTTTGATTGCTTTTAGCAATTATTTCCAAAGGTCAATAAGAAAAATTACAACTACCATAGCTACATTTTCAAGTTTACAGACTTACAATAAATATTATAATTGTTTCAAGGGTATTTTAGGCACTGTAAACATGGTAGACAAACAAACAATTATTAAACCTGCAGCTGAGACAAAATCACTTTATACTTCAATCCTTTTCATACTGGAAAACATCACTTATTTCTCTTAATTTTTCCTTCTGAAAGTGAAAATACTTAATAAAATTGCCTGAAACTTAAAACTAACTGACTAAATAGTATCTACTTTAAAGTTAAAGAAATCAATATAATTTGATGTAGTTTTTCTACAATCTTTTTATGTTGGTAAACTTCAAAAAGTTTTATATATAAGACACTGTTTTGAAACAGACATTTAATATACTTCCTCTCATTTTAGAAGAGAGAGAAGAAAAGACATAGGTGAATTATACACTGATAGTGTTCAAGAGAAAAATAGTTTAACTTGCCAAATGAATTCTAAAGCAATCAAATTGGCCTAAGTGGACTTTTGACAAGAAGAGAACTGTATAGTATTTAAGATGCAACTATGATATACGTAGTGTAAAGAATTTTTTACATTTAACTTGTTTTGAATATATTATTTTAAAACAAGCGGAGTGTCTGTGTGCTGTTCATTTATCATCGAATTTATCACCAATATGTCACAAACATCTACCGTAGAAGAATCCTTAGCCCAACACACCCATATATATATATATATTTAACTTACTCTATATTACATACTTTAAAAAAGTAAGTTTTTGACAAAGAGGGTTAAAAAAGATGTCTTATACTTGGTAAGAGTATCTAAATATTTCTTACCTCTTTTATATGCTTCCTCAAGATTAAGAGAATCAATAATACTAAAAGGTATCCAAAGTTTTCTCTTCTCAATTTCTTTTTCATAAAACCAGTGAGGCTGGACTGGTTGATATGTTATAAATCCTACAGGTAGGTTCCATGCTTGTGTCTGAGCTCCATATGGCATCTGTGAGGTTTGGGGGAGCTGGAGGATTGGTGATGTGGTCACAGAGATATTCTGCTCTTGTGAGCCTGATGATGGGACCAAAGGAGGTGCAGTATCAACCACTGGAGGAGGTCCGAAATTTCCTGGTACTACATTTGGCTTTCCATATAATCCTGGTGTAGGTGCATATCTCATTGGTGACTGACGACGAAAATTTTGAGCTGGGCCTACAAGAAACATTCAAGAAGAATTCATTATAGCTAACCCATTTTTATTTCTATCTTCATACAAAAGGGCTATTGAATAGTTTTTTAAATTACAGGAAATTAGCAAGAAGTACAAAACACTATCACTGATCAAAATGTCTAACATAAATAGATATTACACTTTCCACATCAATTTGTGAAAAAAGTGGAATGCTTATTATATTGCAAAATATGCTCAACAAAAATTATTTAATTTCATACAGAATGCAGTAGATTACATAATTATTCAATATGAGTTAAAAAGTTTCTTGTGTAATTTATAACTGAAAAGAAGTAAAAAATAAAACATGTATACACTTCAAACTGTTTCCAGGAATATTAACATTCTGAAGGGATGGAAAGCAACACTCAGTTAAATAATAAAATTTATCTTACATGTATATATAATTCAAATATTTCATCTAAAAAATTATAATTGCAACACAGCAACGATGTTAATTTTAGAATTATAGTGTTTTTAGGTCTTTAGGTAACATTCACCAAAATCAGCACAAAATATGAACCTAGTGTGACAAACTATAAGGTTAAGAAAACCTGGTCAACACTCCATATATTTTACTCTCACTATATAAAATGGGAAGATAGTAAAAAATTATGAAATTTCATTGAACACATAAAGAGGGTTATAAAGTTCATACAAACTCTATACATTATTTACTGCTGTATGTTCAACTAAAACTAAAAATAAGGAAGGAAAGTCATCTCCAGCTGTTTAATAAAAATTATTAGTACAGTGACAGTAAAGCAGAATAATCAAAATGGATTTGGTCCCTATGACACAGTATAAAATACAATTTCATTTCTACTGTACATTGTTTTCATACTAAGCATTGTTTACAAGTACTTAAGAAAACTTTCAACAACTAAAGTGTTGGATTCTACATATATCCATCTACTAATTCAAAAGGTCAAACATATGTACAATGGAAAACTGTCTACTGTCTTTGACTTTAATTTTGTAAATAATTACCTGTTGGGGGTGGGCCCGACAAATCAGAAACACTCCCCACTGTATGTGGTGGGATATTTGTGGGTCCAGAATACAAAGGTACTGTACTTATGGGTGGGGGTCCTACTGTGGTATCTGAAATAGGAGTAGGAGCAGGAGATGGTCTTGGGGAATCACTTGGAGTTGAAGTTTCACTTGACATCGGAGACAGTGACTTTGTTGGTAATTTTGCTTGGGGTGGACGCAAGGGCTGCTGGAGCTGACTCAGCATACCACCACTACCACCTGAATCCTTTCTCTGAGAAGGTACAGGTGGTTGCATTATGCTTTTGGTAGGAGATGCAACTTGTTGCTCTGTTGCCAGGAGTGACTGTCCTACAAAACTATCCATTTCTCCTATACAAATAAAAAAATCTTGTCAACACAAAAATCAGCAATTAAATTCTACAACAAATGTAAGCATTTTAATTTTGTCTTATAAAACACATTACAATGAAATCTTTTTTCAAATTTCAAAACTGCAGGTTCATATAAATAAGATATTTTATCTACAAAAGCTACATAATCTGTAGGAAGTAAGTTTGATGTTTCAAACTATTCCACCCACTAGTTTTATATATTTTTTCACAATGCAAAGAGGTCTGTCAAATCAATGCACGTGGATCTCATAGAATTAAGCTAAACAACTGAGACGGAAAGTTGTTTTTAATAAACTAAATGGTTTAACCTAGATTCAAATACTGTGTGTGTGTATAACATTTGGATGAAAACTTAAATATTCATTCATTAATCTCCCACTTTCAAGCACATTTTACTTGATCATAATAACAAGAACAGGATCAACAATTCAACCCCATCACTAACAAAGGAAAATTAAATAAAACCAGATTTCTATTTCTATTGATTGCAAAAAAAGGTGGTCATTAAAATTTTATTATCCAAACCTTACAAACTAAATCTTGAATGTAATCAGAAACTAATGCATACTTAAGAAATAAACTTTGATAACTCATAGCTTCTACTGTACAAATAGCTTCAAGATCTTTTGATAACTGAAGCTTATTCCCTAGAAATCTTTACCGAATCTCACTCAATGTGTGTCAAGGTCACACAATTGACCATTCTGTAAAAATCATTGGTATGGCACTTACCTATACTCTAAATTGGCATGAAGAAGGGATACTTACACACCGAAAATTACATATTGTATAATCTTCCTTAATAAGTGGAAATTGACCAAATCAGGATAATTATGTGAAAAAATATGTCCAATACCTTAAATAAGGATATCCAGGCATCCAAAATATTAATGGCTCATTTGGGTCACAAATTCTTTTTTTTTCAAAATATTGAGCACCTCCAATAAATGATTGTTTAGCTATATATTTGTATAATAGAAATCCAAAAACACCTCAACAACGATGAAACACACACACACACACAACACACACAAATAAGAATTCAGTTTACTGCCATGATCTCAAAACTTTGCCCCTCTATTGTCAACTCTACCACGCTAGACCTCTTAATTAACAATACAAGGATATTTTGTACATAAACTTTATCTATTTGTACACTGGAATAATTTTGTTAAGTTTTATTTATTTCAAAAGAGAACAATTTTAAAGGATTAAGCTGTGCTTTGTGGCTCAAATTCTTCAACACTTTTATATGTACATGAGGCTGCTGCCATTGTTCCACCCCCACCCCCTGGCCAGGCAAAAAAAAAAAATTTTCATGGTTATAATTTTAATGACTGAAAATTTGTAAATTCCTTTCGAAAGTGGGATAAAACGCTTCACATGAGCAGTCACTAGGTAAACATGTGTTATAAGGTGAAAGAGTCTAAAAAATATAAAGGCAGAGACAAATTTACTTTAGGCTATGCTTTATTTTTCTGAGTAATCTATCTTTAATAGCAGGTAATTGATACAAAGTAGTCACAATGAAATTAAAAGTTTGAAATATTAAATATCCATAAATTTGTGAACAAAATTTTTTACACACCACATAATCTTTTACTGGAAAGAAAATAGGCTTTGTATGGTATCCGCTGTGGATGATACTGTCTGATGTGCCATGCTAAGTACAAGTGAATTAGTGTGGCATGAGCTGTTTG